GTCACTTTATTCATGCGTCAGCATATGGCTATGTTAGTTTGACCATTAAGGAAGACTCTCTGATAGTTTGGTACGATTACGTTGTTGGGAAGTTCTGGCAAATACAAAAGAAGGGACGATAGGCAGTCTTGAAGTTGATTGCAATTGCGGTTTTTGAAAACTTATCAGCTCCGCAGTTTTCCAAAGTTCATTTTTGTCGTTTGTAACGTTTGATATAATTCTTGATTTTTGGGAATCATATTTGTTTGAAACTAGCTGTAAGTTATTTTGTCATTCACAAGTACTTTCTTCAATACCACAGCGTAGTTGGCATTACGAATGGAACAAAATGAACTAGCCATACAGCCACTTCAATTGAATTAAAAGAACGCTACGTTGTAATAAGAAATACCAGATAGTCTGATTCCAGGTGAGCCGGCCAACTTTCAGAAGGATTGGATTTGTGCTCGGTGGTCGGTGGTCATGTTGGCAATTTAAAGTTTACAGATATCGACAAACACTTTTTTGTCCAAGTGAGACCTGTTGTCTGTACTCTTCATTTGTGAAGTGATTCTCTTCTGTGAAGAACATTAACTTCCAGCTTGCACATCCTCGTTAAAAGGAACGAAATGAAATGGTAACAATAATAACTAAAAAAGGAAAATTAATTGTCTCCATATGCAAAACTGCTACTTTCAGGGGCACCCAACGAGAATATAGTTCAAAACCACTTAAACATAGCATTGTTAAACGTATTTTAGTATTTAAACTGTAGATATAGGCATATTTTTAACCCCTCAAAAATTTCTCGTCTGTTCGGATTTCCTAGCTGAAAGTCTAGTGACCCGAAAATTATAGGGATCAAAACTTACCTTATCGAAAATTTCAGCCAGAAAAAAAAGCTTCCGAAAATTCTAGGTGACCTTTTTACGGGAAAAATCCGTTAAAAATGGGCAATTATACCATTTTTTAGATATTCGAAAATCCTAGGAGAGGCAGGCAAGCAAGAAATTTTACAACAAATGTTACGAAAATGCTAGATCTCAAATCATCTTCAGAACAGATATTTTCCGAAAATTGACGTTGCGTGCCCTTGTACTTTCTGGAACATGGCAAACCTTTGTTTTAACGTTCTCGTTGGACAAAACATAAGCCACTGAAAAATTTGTTTTGCTTCTAGTTTTGTTTTGTTTTGTTCTGTTTTTGTGCGTTACCTCGCAAACGTCATAAAACCGGAAAGCAATTGGTCCAAGAAAATTAACATATAGTGGAATAAATATTTTAAAGTCTTGGTTTCCTTCCACGCATTACGAACATCACGCAAGCGGATTTGTGTCATCCGTGTACCACGAAAATGCGGACGTTAGTTGCTCCAAGTATCTCAGAATTTTTTTTGTCCCAGGTAAAAGAACGCAAAAGATTACATAACAGCATTCCATTTTCCCTAAATTTCTGCCAAGTTCAAGCGTTAGCGACTATCAAAAAGGCCCATAAATTCGAGGACGAAAATCTTTGATTAGCTCTTGCAGTGACGGGTTACAAATCACGCTCAGTTTACGATGATGGGTCACTGCTTTTAATATCTTTGTATTGGACTTGGAAATGCGGTTTAAATAATAACCTAAGAAAATGTATCTGTTGTGGTTCAGTTTTATCCTTGGTTCAAATTTTATTTTCTTTTGTTTTTCGGGTATGGTAATATATGATAATAACATGATAATGAGTTTGAAACAAGAGAAAAGAAAATTTAAAGCAAGGATAAAATTGAACCACAACATACCAAGTACCAAGTATTACTTTACCAAGTAGAAATTTCTCGTGGTCAGTCAAACGTTTCACCCCTAAGGCAAGAAAATTATGCTTACGATAATTCAATTGTGTTTTCTTTACTTTACGCAAGTATAACTCTTGAAAATATTGAACAGATCGCAACGTAACAATCAAAATGGCAAAAAACTCATTCTCTATTTGAATAGCGAGCTTTTTTCTTGATCAAAGTACGTGATGTTTTATTTACCGCAAACAAAACGTGAACGACATTCTTCTGTCACTAAATCTCATGGTACATGACCATTAAGCTTCTCAACTTTTTCAGTGAACTGATATTTGGTTCATATTATATTTCACATTTTATGGAGCTAAGTCTTGTTGTTAGTTTATTATTTAACACATGATCCGGAGAAGAATAAAATTTCCCGTTAGTATATGAAATGAGGAAAGCAAACAAATGTAAGAAGTTTTTTAACTTTGCATTTTTGCAAACGCCTTTTTTTATAACAACCAGAGCAAATGAATATACAATGCACAGTACAATTCAATGTATAAAAATAAAGGTATAGATAGTCCTCTAAAATAGAGTATTTTAATAATAGAGGTTGATGAAGAATCTCTTGGTTAAAATCTCTCTCTCACGTCTCCACGTGGTATTTGAAAAAGATAATTTTTCTAGAAAGAGCAAGCCTCTAACGCGCATCCGGAAAACTTAAAAGAAGAGGATGTCTCGAGGATCGTTTTTAAAATTCTGTACCACAAATGCATTCCTTTCATTAGTACATATTTTCTTTCCTTTTTTCCTCCTTACGTGACGATATTCAACTGATAAAGCTGAACAGCACTAGAGGGAAGTTAAATATGGTCAAATGTCTTAAAGTTCTTGAGTTTGCTGATAACACTTGCGTATTAATATCCTAATGTAAATAGATATGTTTCTAACATCTGTGCCAAGGGCAAAATTGGATATCAGAAACATTTCCCTTCATACAGTAGCATGAGATATGACCAGTCTTTAAAGTTCGTTACACAAGACTGTTAGCAAAGGAAGCATGATCATTTAAGCTCCCCCTTTCCCCGGCGTTGTTATCGCCTTTTTGGCTTACAGCAATACTAACGGAAAAGAAGCACTCCCCCCCCCCCTCCAGTCTATTTCACACTACCAGAGTGAAAGGTGAGGTTTTTGTGTCTCGTACACTGAGTGGAGTTACTGAGTAGACAAAATACTGCAGTGAGACCATTCAAATGAAACTTCTTTGACATTACTTTAACAAGGTGCTATTTTGTTTGTCTAATCGATGAAATCTAAAATTTTTGTCAAGTTTTGACTTTGGCTACTTTTAGCATTGAAAGGGTGAGTGGCCTTTAACCATAGATACCGGAATTTATTAAATCTAATATAGGTCATGTGGCTACATCTGTAGTGCTGATCAAGGTAGTATTGTACAAGCTTTAATTGAAGAGGAAAGTTTTACCATGTTTTGAAAACAAAATCCCAGTATTGTAAAATAATAAAGAAACATATGCCTAAGTGTGTACTATCCTTTTTTTCTCTGAAAGAAGGCATTTCTTGATCTGTACGCGTTCAATATAGCTTGTATCTTTACTACGGTCACGACCTTCAAGAGAGGAAGTGAAGGGGTGATATGATTGAGTTTAATGCGATCACAAATGTAAGTAACTTTTGCTGTGTAATAAGTGTCTTATTCTAGGCGTGACTCCACAACAAGAATTAAACTTTAAGTCCGGCAGTCTTTTAAAAGATTTCATGCGGGCAATATTCTTCTTCTGGCGCATACAATCGACAATGTGCAAAACAAATACTGGGTTTCCTTTTTTTTAATTTTCAAGAGAGGATCAAAGTGCTCAGATGATTTTAAGAAAAGGGAAAAAATGATGCAGCGGCAAAAAGCCTTTTATACAATCAACCTGATAATTTGAGGGGCAAAGAAGAAGGCAAATTGTTGTGCTTGGGTCTGCCAGTTGTAGAAAGTCGACAGTAAAATGCAAAGATTCGTGCTCTGCTTATGATCGACCTCACACTCCTCACTCGTCCACTACTCGTCCCCCCTCCTCCCTTCTTACTCCACCCATATGAAATGGTTAAGTTTCTCATTGAGGGCTGAGTGAAACAAAAAAAAATGTTGGCTTTAACAACTGAGGTTGAAATTCCATTTTATCACCATTGCCCTCAGTCAGAGCGAATCAATATCAATGCACCAGTTTGCGTCGATTCCCTCTTTCCGAGAGCTTAAACGCGGTCGATACGTCAGTCAGCTTTCCAGTCTTTTCACGTTGATAATTTGACTTTATCATTGCTAAAACCAACACTTTTTATGTATACGTGTGGTCAGCCATAACCTTACAGTGGCAAAGTGATCAAAGTGGCTATTGAAGTGGTTAACTTAAAAGTATTGGGCCACACGTAGGATACTAACGGGAAATCGTGCCTGGTCTCAGCATTCCTGTCCGCTTATAAAAGAGTACGTTATCTCCTCCAGAACCAAACAGTTGGATATTCACGTCTTGTTGCAAGTCGTGTTCATCAACCAGCCTCTGAATTTCTTCTCAAGTTCGCATTGCCTGATATGTGCGAAGTATTGGAGTGAAGTAAGTTGTGCTGTTAAAAGTTTACTCGCAGTTTCGCTCAAATGAATTTTAAACATTAACTGATACTTCTGAGCCTTTTATTGGCTTTTCGATCCACAGCTAGTCAAAAGTAGTCTATTCATTTTTGTTATGAATTATTGGTGGGACATTTTTATTACAAAGTTTGCTTTGTAACGCTAGTATTACTGTTACTGGTATAGCAAAGTTCAGGTTTAGTTGGTCAACCGGAAAATGATGACCTGTCTTCTGGATTTTATAGAAAGAGGGCAGAGGACTCCGCTTTGATCCGTAGCGAATCTTTTTTCCATGCTAACGATCTCTTTAGTTTACATTTGTATATATACCAATGACGGAAGATGAAATAATATTCAGTAACATGCCTTTAATTTGAGTTTTCAATTCAATTTTTTTCTTTCGAACATTTTTTCCCCTAAGAGCACACATTTGACGCCCAACATGCCCACGATCGTCACAGCATTGACTTTAGCATCCTCTTCCTGATATTAGACATCTCCACTGTTGCTTTTTGCAGTTGTACTATGGATCTGAAAATTCGTGTATACTGATTGCTTTACTAGTAGTAAACGACTATCCTCTTCCTGATATTAAACATTTCCATTGTTGCTTTTTGCAGTTGTACTATGGATCTGAAGATTCGTGTATACTGTTTGCTGACTGCCCTGGTTGCAGTTAATAATGTTCAAGGTATGCTACAATGTTAATTTTAGACTTGGTATAGGCCACTCGATCGTGAGACCGAAGAAACTGGAAATTAGAAATCATGCATTATTTTCTATCAACCTTTTAAGCCGTTATTGCGCAGTTATCAATTTAACTCAAGGTGATATCTTTGTGTAAAATTTCCGGAAGTTGATTTGAAAAGTTTTCCGCATTGACGTGTCATGTGGCAACCTCGTTGCAGGGCTGTTCCTTAGGAACAGAGCTCTTGGGAAGTGGTTTTCAATTGCTCGGCGAGAGAGGGATGACGGGAAGCGAGGGAGTGTTATTGGCGATATCAAGACTGAATAATGCAAATATAAAAAAACTACACACACATTGGTAATTACTCTACCCCGTCTCATAAATTGCACAAAGATTTTCAAGTTGTCAGCCATTCTCTTATCATGCGTTAGCAAGGGAAGTTGAAACGTCGTGTTCGCGGATTTCAAAGTCTATTTCTTGGCCCATCGCGTAGAATCCCCAGTCCACGGAGGTCAACAAAAAAATTTCCCGTCCGCGCTGGGGTTAGTGTTTTGTCTTTTTGCCGTGACAGTTATAAATGAAGAAGCATACACGAAACAAAAAGAACAAGACGGTCAAAGAGGACTGGAAACAAGTTTGAAAAATAACAAAGATGGCGGACGGAGTCGAGAAGAAATTTTTTTTGGCTTTCCAAGACGTTTTCTGGAAGTTTTCTTGGCGCTGTCTACCCATCACGCGTTCAGGTCAAATTCAAAGGAAAACAAATCGTATTCGTATCGTATTCCATGGTTTAAAAGACTTTGGCGGTTTTAAAGGCAGACAAGAGATGTCACGATTTCAAGTGGTACCCTTCGCAATTTCTGCTAACTTTGGTTTTAATCTTTCCGTGAAAATCTACGCACGCGAAAATCCATACAAAAATGACGAATTTTTGGTTCGTATTTAGCGCAAAAAAAACAAACAAACAAACAAACAAAACAGTGAAATCCGATAAGCTGGCATTAACCGAAGGTAAGATCTTAAATTTGATGTTTCTCATTTCTATTCCGGTGGTACCCGTTAAGAATTGGTTACGAGCAACTCACAATCAGAGACAAAAAACCCCCAAAGTCGCTTCAGTCTTACTATTCCGCCATATTTTAAAGACCAAATCGTGGCTCGAATGCGGCTCTAGTCTGTTAAATTCCCGGATGTGACCGGGCATTGACGCGGCGGAGAAGGCGAAATATGTCCTGCTTTCTAGTTCTAATAAATATACTAATCAAGACCATCATCTTTGCACCTTGCCCAAGAACGATCGTGGGCTTAAAAATTCAAAAATTGCAGCTTGCAGAATTAGTAGGCTATACAGGTTCCGGTTCTAGTGAGGAAACTATTAAACTTAGGTTGGCTTAATGCTGAACGAAGCTTTTATGACTGAAAAGATTTTAAAAATGGGGAAAATTCTCTACTAAATAGGGATTTGCGAAATCAAACTACTTGTTCCCACTTTTGGGAGACGGCAGGAATGAAGCTGCATTAAGAAAACACAGATGCAACTACAAATAAAAAACCAGGGAAGAAAAATAAAAGAAACAAACTGCACTCGTGCAAAGCAGTGCAAAAGTATGACAGACCGATAGGTAGTGGTGTCAGTTTGTTGGAGACCCTAATATACCAAAGTGATGTAATTATTGAGAATTTAGTTTCTATATGTTATAGATCTACACACGCAGCCTTTCCGGGATGAGTTCAGAACTGATGTTCATTGTTAATTATTAACAATGAACATCAGTTCAGAACTCATCCTGGAAAAATTAAATTAAAAGATTTTGTCTATTCGGTTTGGCTTATCACATTTTTATGTTTTCTTTCTCTCAGACCTTATGACAGTTGTGACTGGCCAGTAGGAAGTTGTCAGTTCTACAAGGTTCCCTGCCCACACGGCACAGTACGGTGCCCTGCCAATGACAAAGGATGCAAATTGAAGACAAACTACTGCTGTTGTAACAAGGCATCGGGTGAGTTATTGAAATAAAATGGTCAAAAAAGTGGCGTCGATGTTTGCTGGTAACCTGAAAGAACCCTGCATGACAATATTCAACACACCATGTCCAAAAGATCTGGACAAATCTCTAGATTGAGAGAGCCAGATAAAGGCTAATTATTTAAATTTGCTCATTTATATAATCACAACGGTGACAAAAGTCCATAACCACTTTTAGGGCCTGTTTACATGGAGGTGGGGGACCCCAGATAGGTGAGGTAACATGTGGTGGGTCACCCCACCTATAATGTAAACGTGATCAAAGTAAAATGAGAGATCAGTATATGAACAGACGGGTTACCCCACGGGTTACCTCACCTACCTGGGGTCCCCCACCCCCATGTAAACAGGCCCTTAATTTATTAGTACTTATCTTTATCAATTTAATCGAAATCTATTCATTTCTATTACCATTGTTAAAATTCAAATTAAATTAAAATTGCTTCGTAGTAAATCCAAAACCTTTGCCTGAATCTTAATTAAGTTGAATTTCCACTGACTTCTATTACTTCCATGAATTAAAATAATTTTACGTAGATTTGATTTTTCTCATTTAATGGCTTTTAAGTAACTACTAAACCCACTCCTAAACCAACAACGACATCTGAACCTACAACAACGCCGCCTGAACCCACGACAACGCTGCCAACGACGAAGCCGCCTCACCCATATGCATGTGACTGGCCGGTTGGAAAATGTGGGTACTACTTGCATCCTTGCCCACCAAACATGATACGCTGCCCACACAATGACAAAGGGTGTGGTAAGCCAACTCACTGCTGTTGCTACAGGTTCCCACCAAGTAAGTTATTAACGACTAGCAGTAAGTATTTGTAACTATAAAAATTGAGACATTTTTATCTGATCATATTGTATCAGTCACATAAACTAAATCACGCTGATCAGTTTACGAGAGAAACTATTATTTTATTGTTAAAATGTGCAAACTATTGCCAAACAAGATGAGATGAATATCACTTTGGTGGAAATATACAAAGAAATGCATCGGGAGAAATTTGGGGTTTGGAAATAGCCCCGATCCACAGTTTCCTTTCGAAGTGTTTGTTTCTTTATCTGTGGTGCTGAAACGTGCTTAAATTTATTCAAGCATGCTTAGTTTCTTATACTACAAATACGTGCCCTCAAAGAGAATCTGGTAATTTTTTTACACCAAGGACTGGTGGTATTTCAAAGTTGAGAGAGAATTTACATTTAACATGTTTAGTGAAAAGTTAGAAACATAGGCAGTCAGTGTGGAAGAAAATTCGAAAAATAGCAAATCAGTAACAGACACTAGTATAATGCTATGTGTCGAAAGTACTGCCGAAACGCTTTTTTTCCGGAAACTCATACAACTGGATTGTTGGCATCGAGGAGGCATCAAATACCTGGAGAACTTAAGGGAAAAAAGATAAAAGCCTAATATATTCCTTCTTTTCACCCTGCATGATACTTTTGACATCACATTGAAGTTAAATTACTGCTACTGCTATTAAAATCTTCAATTTGTTAGGACCCAGCTCAGTGTTTAAACGTTGAATATAGCGCTTAAGCCACCGGGTAAATCTCTATCCTAGTGAATAAGTGTTGGGGGAACCATGCATCTTGAAAAGAGATTAATCCAGCGGATAGCGTTTTCCTCTGGGGATAAAACTGGGGTGAGAATTGTATAATTTTATCTGAGTTCATGATCTGATCTCTCCTATCATTTAATTGTTTTAAAGCAACTACTGAGCCTACAACGAAGCCTACTCCTAAACCAACGACGAAGCCACCTAAACCTTCAACAAAACCTCCTCATCCATACGTGTGTGACTATCCGGTTGGGTCTTGCTCGTACTATAAAGAACCGTGCCCATCAGGCACCATACCCTGCCCTGACCGTGACAAAGGATGTAAACTTAAAACAAATCGCTGCTGCTGCAACCACAAGACTCCTCCTACAACCAAGCCTACTCCTAAACCAACGACGAAGCCACCTAAACCTTCAACAAAACCTCCTCATCCATACGTGTGTGACTATCCGGTTGGGTCTTGCTCCTACTATAAAGATCCGTGCCCATCAGGCACCATACCCTGCCCTGGCCGCGACAAAGGATGTAAACATAAAACAAATCGCTGCTGCTGCTACCACAAGACTCCTCCACCAAGTAAGTTATCGACACTAACCAGTACGTATACATGAAGCGGAATATTTCAGTCATAACTTAAACAGACATGGCTTTCTTCTCGTACCCCACCTAAACGTAATAGCGGTGGATTTGAACTAGAAACTACTAGAAAAACTACTAAAAAAACCACTAAAAACTACTAGAAACTAGTAAGACAGACCTAATGAAAAATAATTTATGCAGCTAGCTGCAACTTACCTTGGATGGGAATACACAAAATTGCATGCTGAAAAATTATAGCTCGGCGGGCTGAAAGAGTTTCTGTTTACGTTATTGAATTAGTTACATGGAGTCATACTCGGATCCGTCTTCAACATTTTTGGATCAAAGCGAGCTGAAATTAAAACGAAGTGTCCTCCGTCACTTTTTCTTAAACAACGACCACAAGAGATACTCTTGCAGATCTTAAAAACAAATATTGAACGACCTCTGATTCTTCTCAATATTTTGTCACACACACGATGAATTTCAAGCTGATCAAACAACTCAAAAGTAACGTTTTAGAAAATCAAACACTCTCCAGTATCCGCTTATGGTATCAGAACATTTAAATTAATGACGAATTTCCAGTCTGACTACCTATTAAATTTTTTCCAAAGTTTAAAATTTGACATTTCTCTCTTTCTCTCTAATTGCAATTGCTTCAAAGTGACTACTAAACATTCACCAAAACCTAAATTTGACGTACTTTCCTCTTCTATTAGTTTCTTTTGTTAAGTATCATTTCATCTTAATTTGACTTTCCTCTGATTATTTATTGATTCACAGCAACTACTAAGCCTACTCCTCAACCAACGACGAAGCCACCTAAACCTTCAACAAAACCTCCTCATCCATACGGGTGTGACTATCCGGTTGGGTCTTGCACGTACTACAAAGATCCGTGCCCAGCAGGCACCGTACCCTGCCCAGGCAACGACAAAGGATGTAAACTTAAAACAAATCGCTGCTGCTGCTACCACAAGACTCCTCCACCAAGTAAGCTATTGACACCAACCACAGAATATTTCATTGTAATTGAAAAGAGACATGCCTAATTTTCTTAATCTGATTATTGCCGTTTCATTTATTTTTGCGAAAAGCAACTACAAAACCTACACCTAAACCATACGGGTGTGACTGGCCGAATGGGTATTGCTCGTACTATAAAGATCCGTGCCCAGCAGGCACCATACCCTGCCCTGGCAACGACAAAGGATGTAAACTTAAAACAAATCGCTGCTGCTGCTACCACAAGACTCCTCCACCAAGTAAGCTATTGACACCAACCACAGAATATTTCATTGTAATTGAAAAGATACATGCCTAATTTTCTTAATCTGATTATTTTCGTTTCATTTATTTTTGCGAAAGCAACTACAAAACCTACACCTAAACCCACGACAAAGCCACCTCATCCTCCGAAGAATGTATGCGATTGGCCGGTTGGAACTTGTACCTATAAATACGACCCATGTCCACCAGACTGGGAACGCTGCCCTCAGTATGATTATGGATGTAAACTTGCAACAAATCACTGTTGTTGCCGCAAGAAGACGCCGCCAGGTAAGTAGTACTTTAGCTTTTCTTATCAAACTACATTCCCTTGCAAAAATAAAGAGAATACAAAACATGAAAAACCAAACTGAATGCTTTTTATTCCATTTATTTTACAAAAGAAGAGTTAAAAGTTGGGCAACATCATCTACCAACATTAAAATTTTAATTCTTTTTTTATTATTTTTGTATATAATGATTAAGTTTAAAACACTGAGATAAATTAAAATTCGCGCGACGAAGAAAATTTAACAACAAAAGCGTCACTGAGAAAATGTTTTGCTTAGAACATCATAGGGTAGAATTATTGGGAAAAAAGAAAATAACTAAAAATCGAAAGAAAAATAGAAGTTTGCCTTTGTATCCAAGTTTAATGCTCTATTCTGCTTGTTTTTCTAGCAATTAATAAAGATGAAATTAATACATTTGTTACTATTAAAGTTTATTCAGTGATCTTAACATTTTTCCTAAAATACTTTTGACTTATTTGTTTTAAAGTGACTACCAAACCTCCACATAAGCCCAAGACAACGCCACCTCATCCTCCAAAGAATGTTTGCGATTGGCCGGTTGGAACTTGTACCTATAAATACGACCCATGTCCACCAGACTGGGAACGCTGCCCTCAGTATGATTATGGATGTAAAGTTAAGACAAATCACTGTTGTTGCCGCAAGAAGACACCACCAGGTAAGTAGTTGTTTAAGCTCTTCTTATCAAATTGCATTCCCCTTTCAAAATAAAGAGAATACAAAGCATGAAAAACCACACTGAATGGTTTTTATCTCATTTATTTTACAACAAAAGAGTTGAACATAGGCAACATCATCTACCAACATTAAAATTTTAATTTTCTCTTTTTTTTGAAGGTTATATATGATGATTAAGTTTGAAACACTGAGATAAATTAATATTCGTGCGACGGAGAAGAATTTCAACAACAAAAGCGTAACTGAGAAAATGTTTTGCTTAAAAGGTCATAGAGTAGAATTATTGGAAAAAAAGAAAAAAACAAAAAACAGAAAGAAAAATAGAAGCTTGTTTTTCTATCAATTGATCGCTATGAAATTAATACATTTGTTACTAAGTTTATTCATCTAAATATTTTTCCTTATATACGTTTTACTTATTTGTTTTAAAGTGACTACTAAACCTACACCTAAGCCCAAGACAACGCCACCTCATCCTCCGAAGAATGTATGCGATTGGCCGGTTGGAACTTGTACCTATAAATACGACCCATGTCCACCAGACTGGGAACGCTGCCCTCAATATGATTATGGATGTAAAGTGAAGACAAATCACTGTTGTTGCCGCAAGAAGACGCCGCCAGGTAAGTAGTTGTCTTAGGTCTTCTTATCAAATTACATTCCTTTGCGGGAATGAAGAGAAAACAGAGCATGAAAAACCAATTTGAATGCTTTTCAGGTCATCCTTTTACAACAGAAGAGTTGAAGATGGGGCAAACATCATCTACCAAAATTTTAATTTTCCTTTTTTTTATAGTAATACATGATGATTAAGTTTAAAACACTGAGATAAATTAAAATTCTAGAGACGGACAAAAAATCAACAACAGAGAAGGTTCCTAACAAAGGTTTTTCTTTAAAGGTCCTAGGGTGGAATTTGTGGAAAAAAAGAAAATAACAAAAAACAGAAAGAAAAATGGAAGTTTGCCTTTGTATTCAAGTTTAATAAACTATTCTTCTTGTTTTAATATCAATTGATAACGATGAAATTAATACATTTGTTACTATAAAGTTTATTCATGTAATATTATTATCTTTTTATTTATTTGTTATAAAGTGACTACGAAACTTCCTTGTAAGCCCAAGACAACGAAGGTTGCCTTTGTATCCAAGTTTAATAAACTATTCTGCTTGTTTTTCTATCTATTGGTAGCGATGAAGTTAATACATTTGTTACTAAGTTTATTCATGTAAATATTTTTTCTTATATCCTTTTTTACTTATTTGTTATAAAGTGACTACTAAACCTACACCTAAGCCCAAGACAACGCCACCTCATCCTCCGAAGAATGTATGCGATTGGCCAGTTGGAACTTGTACCTATAAATACGACCCATGTCCACCAGACTGGGAACGCTGCCCTCAATATGATTATGGATGTAAAGTTAAGACAAATCACTGTTGTTGCCGCAAGAAGACGCCACCAGGTAAGTGGTTGTTTTTGGTTGTTCTTATCAAATTGCATTCCCCTTGAAAAATAAAGAGAATACAAAGCATGAAAAACCTCACTGAATTGTTTTTATCTCATTTATTTTACAACAAAAGAGTTGAACATGGGGAAACATCATCTAGCAACCTTAAAATTCTAATTTTCCTTTTTTTTAAAAAAATTATATATGATGATTATTATGGGATAATTTAATATTCCTGCTACGGAGAAGAAATTCAACGACAAAAGCGTCACTGAGAAAATGTTTTTCTTGAAAGGTTATAGGGTAGAATTATTGAAAAAAAAAGAAAACAAAAAACAAAAAACAGAAAGAAAAGTAGAAGTTTGCCTTTGTATCCAAGTTTAATAACTATTCTGCTTGTTTTTCTATCAATTATTGATAACGATGAAATTACTACATTTGTTACTAAGTTTATTCATCTAAATATTTTTCCTTATATACTTTCTTACTTATTTGTTATAAAGCGACTACTAAACCTACACCTAAGCCCAAGACAACGCCACCTCATCCTCCGAAGAATGTATGCGATTGGCCGGTTGGAACTTGTACCTATAAATACGACCCATGTCCACCAGACTGGGAACGTTGCCCTCAGTATGATTATGGATGTAAAGTGAAGACAAATCACTGTTGTTGCCGCAAGAAGACGCCACCAGGTAAGTAGTTGTCTTAGGTCTTCTTATCAAATTACATTCCTTTGCGAGAATGAAGAGAAAACAGAGCATGAAAAACCAATTTGAATGTTTTTCAGGTCATCCTTTTACAACAGAAGAGTTGAAGATGGGGCAAACATCATCTACCAAAATTAAAATTTTCCCTTTTTTATAGTAATATATGATGATTAAGTGTAAAACACTGAGATAAATTAAAATTCTAGAGACGGACAAAAAATCAACAACAAAGAAGGTTCCTAACAAAGGTTTTTCTTTAAAGGTCCTAGGGTGAAATTTGTGGAAAAAAAGAAAATAACAAAAAACAGAAAGAAAAATGGAAGTTTGCCTTTGTATTCAAGTTTAATAAACTATTCTTCTTGTTTTAATATCAATTGATAACGATGAAATTAATACATTTGTTACTAAGTTTATTCGTGTAATTATCTTTTTATTTATTTGTTATAAAGTGACTACTAAACCTACACCTAAGCCCAAGACAACGCCACCTCATCCTCCGAAGAATGTATGCGATTGGCCGGTTGGAACTTGTACCTATAAATACGACCCATGTCCACCAGACTGGGAACGTTGCCCTCAGTATGATTATGGATGTAAAGTTAAGACAAATCACTGTTGTTGCCGCAAGAAGACGCCGCCAGGTAAGTAGTTGTTTTAGCTCGTCTTATCAAATTGCATTCCTTTGCGGGAATGAAGAGAAAACAGAGCATGAAAAACCAATTTGAATGCTTTTATCTCAGGTCATCCTGAGTTGAAGCTTGGGCAAACATCATCTACCAAAATTAAAATTTTAATTTTCCTTTTTTTTATAGTAATGTATGATGATTAAGTTTAAAACACTGAGATAAAGTAAAATTCCCGCGACGGAGAAAATTCAGGAACAAAAGCGTCACTGAGAAAAGGTTTTGCTTAAAAGGTCATAGGGTAGAATTTTTGGAAAAAAATAAAATAAAATAAAAAAAAAAACAGAAAGAATAATGGAAGGTTGCCTTTGTATCCAAGTTTAATAAACTATTCTGCTTGTTTTTCTATCAATTGATAGCGATGAAATTAAAACATTTGTTAGTAAGTTTATTCATCTAAATATTTTTCCTTATATACTTTTTCCTTCTTTGTTATAAAGTGACTACTAAACCTACACCTGAGCCCAAGACAACGCCACCTCATCCTCCGAAGAATGTATGCGATTGGCCGGTTGGAACTTGTACCTATAAATACGACCCATGTCCACCAGACTGGGAGCGCTGCCCTCAATATGATTATGGATGTAAAGTGAAGACAAATCACTGTTGTTGCCGCAAGAAGACGCCGCCAGGTAAGTAGTTGTCTTAGCTCTTCTTATCAAATTACATTCCTTTGCGGAATGAAGAAAAACAGAGCATGAAAAACCAATTTGAATGCCTGTCAGGTCATCCTTTTACAACAGAAGAGTTGAAGATGGGGCAAACATCATCTACCAAAATTGAAATTTTAATTTTTCTTTTTTATAGTAATATATGATGATTAAGTTTAAAACACTGACATAAATTCAAATTCCATCAACCGACAAAAAATCCACGACAAAGAAGATTACAAAGCAACGGTTTTTCTTTAAAGGTCAGAGGGTAGAATTTTGGAAAAAAGGGAAACAAAAACAAAACAAAAACAAAAAAGGAAGTTTGCCTTTGTATTCAAGTTTAATAAACTATTCTTCTTGTTTTAATATCAATTGATAACGATGAAATTAATACATTTGTTACTAAGTTTATTCGTGTAATTATCTTTTTATTTATTTGTTATAAAGTGACTACTAAACCTACACCTAAGCCCAAGACAACGCCACCTCATCCTCCGAAGAATGTATGCGATTGGCCGGTTGGAACTTGTACCTATAAATACGACCCATGTCCACCAGACTGGGAACGTTGCCCTCAGTATGATTATGGATGTAAAGTTAAGACAAATCACTGTTGTTGCCGCAAGAAGACGCCACCAGGTAAGTAGTTGTTTTCGCTATTCTTCTCAAATTGTATTCCCCTTCCAAAATAAAGAGAATACAAAGCATGAAAGACCAAACTGAATGCTTTTTCTTTCATTTATTTTACAAGAAAAGAGTTGAACATGGGGCAAGATCATCTATTAACATTAAAATTTTAATTTTCCCTTTTTTTATGGTTATATATGATGATTAAGTTTGAAAGACTGAGATAAGGTAAAATTCCCGCGACGGAGAAAATTCAGCAACAAAAGCGTCACTGAGAAAAGGTTTTGCTTAAAAGGTCATAGGGGAGAATTTTTGGAAAATAAAAAAAAAAAAAAAAAAAAAGAAAGAATAACGGAAGGTTACCTTTGTATCCAAGTTTAATAAACTATTCTGCTTGTTTTTTTATCAATTGATAGCGATGAAATTAATACATTTGTTACTAAGTTTATTCATCTAAATATTTTTCGTTTTATACTTTTTACTTATTTGTTATAAAGTGACTACTAAACCTACACCTAAGCCCAAGACAACGCCACCTCATCCTCCGAAGAATGTATGCGATTGGCCGGTTGGAACTTGTACCTATAAATACGACCCATGTCCACCAGACTGGGAACGTTGCCCTCAGTATGATTATGGATGTAAAGTGAAGACAAATCACTGTTGTTGCCGCAAGAAGACGCCGCCAGGTAAGTAGTTGTTTTAGCTCGTCTTATCAAATTGCATTCCTTTGCGGGAATGAAGAGAAAACAGAGCATGAAAAACCAATTTGAATGCTTTTCAGGTCATCCTGAGTTGAAGCTTGGGCAAACATCATCTACCAAAATTAAAATTTTAATTTTCCTTTTTTTTATAGTAATGTATGATGATTAAGTTTAAAACACTGAGATAAAGTAAAATTCCCGCGACGGAGAAAATTCAGGAACAAAAGCGTCACTGAGAAAAGGTTTTGCTTAAAAGGTCATAGGGTAGAATTTTTGGAAAAAAATAAAATAAAATAAAAAAAAAAAACAGAAAGAATAATGGAAGGTTGCCTTTGTATCCAAGTTTAATAAACTATTCTGCTTGTTTTTCTATCAATTGATAGCGATGAAATTAAAACATTTGTTAGTAAGTTTATTCATCTAAATATTTTTCCTTATATACTTTTTCCTTCTTTGTTATAAAGTGACTACTAAACCTACACCTGAGCCCAAGACAACGCCACCTCATCCTCCGAAGAATGTATGCGATTGGCCGGTTGGAACTTGTACCTATAAATACGACCCATGTCCACCAGACTGGGAGCGCTGCCCTCAATATGATTATGGATGTAAAGTGAAGACAAATCACTGTTGTTGCCGCAAGAAGACGCCGCCAGGTAAGTAGTTGTCTTAGCTCTTCTTATCAAATTGCATTCCTTTGCGGGAATGAAGAGAAAACAGAGCATGAAAAACCAATTTGAATGCCTGTCATGTCATTTTTTTGCAACAGAAGAGTTGAAGATGGGGCAACATCATCTACCAAAATTGAAATTTTAATTTTTCTTTTTTATAGTAATATATGATGATTAAGTTTAAAACACTGACATAAATTCAAATTCCATCAACCGACAAAAAATCCACGACAAAGAAGATTACAAAGCAACGGTTTTTCTTTAAAGGTCAGAGGGTAGAATTTTGGAAAAAAGGGAAACAAAAACAAAACAAAAACAAAAAAGGAAGTTTGCCTTTGTATCCAAGTTTTATAAACTATTCTGCTTATTTTTCTAGCAATTGATAACGATGAAATTAATACATTTGTTACTAAGTCTATAGATGTAAATACTTTTTCCTTATATGTTTTTTACTATTTGTTATAAAGTGACTACTAAACCTACACCTAAGCCCAAGACAACGCCACCTCATCCTCCGAAGAATGTATGCGATTGGCCGGTTGGAACTTGTACCTATAAATACGACCCATGTCCACCAGACTGGGAACGTTGCCCTCAATATGATTATGGATGTAAAGTTAAGACAAATCACTGTTGTTGCCGCAAGAAGACGCCGCCAGGTAAGTAGTTGTCTTAGCTGTTCTGATCAAATTGCATTCCTTTGCGGGAATGAAGAGAAAACAGAGCATGAAAAACCAATTTGAATGCCTGTCATGTCCTTTTTTTTTTTCAAGAGAAGAGTTGAAGATGGGACAACATTATCTACCAAAATTAAATTTTTAATTTTCCTTTTTTTTGATGGTAATATATGATGATTAAGTTTAAAACACTGAGATAAATTAAAATTCCAGGGATGGACAAAAAATGAACAACAAAGATGGTTTAAAAGCAAAGGTTTTTCTTTAAAGGTTATATGGGTAGAATTTTTGGAAAAAAAGAAAATAACAAGAAACAGAAACAAAAACGGAAGTTTGCCTTTGTATCCAAGTTTAATAAACTATTCTGCTTGTTTTTCTATCGATTGATAGCGATGAAATAAATACATTTGTTACTAAGTTTATTCATCTAAATATTTTTTTCCTGATATACTTTTTACTTATTTGTTATAAAGTGACTACTAAACCTACACCTAAGCCCAAGACGACGCCACCTCATCCTCCGAAGAATGTATGCGATTGGCCAGTTGGAACTTGTACCTATAAATACGACCCATGTCCACCAGACTGGGAACGCTGCCCTCAATATGATTATGGCTGTAAACTTGCAACAAATCACTGCTGTTGTCGTAAGAAGCTGCCGCCAGGTAAGTTACTGTCAGTTAACTAAAGGTTTCTTTGTAACTGAACAACAGTCATAGGTCATCTTCTCTTATACAACTCTTATAACTAACAATTATTACCCGAGTGCGCGTTGGATATGAGATGGTAGTTCGCCAACGAGGCGCCTAACGCTGGGTTGGCTATAATCATCTCTTATCCAACAACCGCGAGTGGAATAATTGTTTTATTAAATATCGAGAATTGCTCTCGACTTTATTTATAAAAACAACCGATTTTCAGCTTGTTTTTAATTTTGCGCAAACGCGTACAGTTATCATATTTGGACAGCATGGTATAATTAACAATTAGTCGCCGAAGGTGACGTGAATACCGGCGAATAGTCACCGAGACGAATGATGATTATTCGAGGAAATAAGATTATTGATTAATTTGCGACTCCGAAACACCAAAAAATCTGGCTGCCATTTTGAAAACTGCTAGCCTTGAAAGTTATAATCACCGCGCGGTGATTATAGCGAGATAAAGCGAAGCTCCTAGCCAATCATAGCGCTCTATTTTCGATAATGATGAATGTAATTATACCAATGGCTCATAAACTATGATTGCTAAGCCAATCACAGCTCTAGAATTGCATTATCCAATGATTCAGTTTTTGATAATAGGAATTTTTATAACGCAAGTGAAACAAGGCATGAAAAATTGTTAGTAATTCAAAATCACTCGGTTAATTACTTCCAGTCCAATCCATTTCCGTTCTAAAACGAACATAAAGACCACGTTGGATTTTTTTTGTCGGTGAAATTTCGTGTCATCCTGTCATTTTTCCAGAAAAATAATTTGAAAAAAAAATTTGAGCAGGCATGGAAACATAACAGTTATACGGAAAAATATATAAAATATAAATGTGACTGTTCTGCGACAGAACTTTGTAATGCAGTGGTAAAAACTTTCTCCCCATTCAAAAGGTATCGTCTTAGCTTTTATTACATGATATTACCGTAAATTGTTTTAAGCCCAAGTTGTTCAAGTCAAATCTATTTAATTAATTAGTTTAAATTCAATATGGTTATTTCACTTATTCTTTTTGACAGTAACCACTGTAAAACCAACGACATATCCTACGACTACGCCGCCTCAAACTACAACCACCAAGCCGCTGTGTATCTCTCCCCATGGGACTTGTTCCTATGCATACCTTCCTTGTCCATCAAACTCAGTACACTGCCCTCATGAAGACAAAGGATGTTATAAGTCACCTTTGTATAAATGCTGTTGCAAGATCCCACCACCAAGTAAGTTTTCAACACTAAAATATTATTTCTCTTTAATGGGAGAGAGGAAAAACAATTCTTTTAATGGGAAAAAGTTAAGGGGGCATTCTTGTGCTTTTTGGGGGAGAAATAATGTTGATTTGGGGAGGAATAAATTAGTGTAGGTAGTAGCATGATTTGTGGTGATATTTGGCATAAATACCACGAGTGATATTTCAAAATTGTTATACGAAATTTCACGAGCCGTTAGGCGAGTGAAATTTGAGACAATTTTGAAATGTCCCAAGTGGTATTTATGCCAAATATCAAGTGCAAATCATGCTATTATTTGTTTATACTACTACCCACAAAAGGTTTGTAATTTTCACATGTAGGTATTTCAAATTAAGCTGAAACACCACTGCTCTGAGCCAATCAAATTGCAGAAATTTCTAAGGTAGTAGTATAAGGTTAGAAATGGTATACACATAAATCGGTTAGTCTGCTAATGGGTTCAGAGCACCGTGTGGTGGTGGTTTACATTCAACAACCCTCAAATCTAATAATTTTGCAATTTTCCACAATTTTAAGCACCCTCCTAGCTCGAAAAAAATAATGCAAAAATTCTCAAAGAAGTCATTGAACCAAGAAAATTTACTTATTTATTTTTAGAAATGTATTTTTTAATTATAATCCAATGGTTCAGTTTTTGCCAACAGGAATTATAACGCAAGTGAAACAATGCATGAATAATTGTTGGTTATTCAAAATCACTCGGTTAATTACTTACAGTCTAATCCATTTCCGTTCTAAAACGAACATAAAGACCACGTTGGATATTTTTGTCGGTAAATTTTCCTGTCGTCCTTTCATTTTTCTAGAACAATAATTTGAAAAACAAATTCAGGCATGGAAACATAACAGTTATACGGAAAAATATATAAAATATAAATGTGACTGTTCTGCGACAGAACTTTGTACTGCAGTGGTAAAACCTTTCTCCCCATTCAAAACGTATCGTCCTCGCTTTTATTACATGATATTACCGTAAATTGTTTTTAAGCCCAAGTTGTTCAAGTCAAATCTATTTAATTAATTAGTTTAAATTCAATATTGTTATTTCACTTATTCTTTTTGACAGCAACCACTGTAAAACCAACGACATATCCTACGACTACGCCGCCTCAAACTACAACCACCAAGCCGCTGTGTATCTCTCCCCATGGGACTTGTTCCTATGCATACCTTCCTTGTCCATCAAACTCAGTACACTGCCCACATGAAGATAAAGGATGTTATAAGTCACCTTTGTATAAATGCTGTTGCAAGATCCCACCACCAAGTAAGTTTTCAACACTAAAATATTATTTCTCTTTAATGGGAGAGAGGAAAAACAATTCTTTTAATGGGAAAAAGTTAAGGGGGCATTCTTGTGCTTTTTGGGGGAGAAATAATGTTGATTTGGGGAGGAATAAATTAGTGTAGGTAATAGCATGATTTGTGGTGATATTTGGCATAAATACCACGAGTGATATTTCAAAATTGTTATACGAAATTTCACGAGCCGTTAGGCGAGTGAAATTTGAGACAATTTTGAAATGTCACAAGTGGTATTTATGCCAAATATCAAGTGCAAATCATGCTATTATTTGTTTATACTACTACCCACAAAAGGTTTGTAATTTTCACATGTAGGTATTTCAAATTAAGCTGAAATACCACTGCTCTGAGCCAATCAAATTGCAGAAATTTCTAATGTAGTAGTATAAGGTTAGAAATGGTATACACATAAACCGATTAGTCTGCTAATGGGCTCAGAGGCACCGTCTGGTGGTGGTTTACATTTAACAACCCTCAAATCCAATAATTTTGCAATTTTCCACAATTTTAAGCACCCTCCTAGCTCGAAAAAAATGATGCAAAAATTCTCAAAGAAGTCATTGAACCAAGAAAATTTATTTATTTATTTTTAGAAATTTATTTTTTAATTATAATCCAATGGTTCAGTTTTTGCTAACGGGAATTATAACGCAAGTGACACAAAGCATGAATAATTGTTGGTTATTCAAAATCACTCGGTTAATTACTTCCAGTCTAATCCATTTCCGTTCTAAAACGAACATAAAGACCACGTTGGATATTTTTGTCAGTAAACTTTCCTGTCATCCTGTCATTTTTCTAGGACAATAATTTGAAAAAGAAATTCAGGCATGGAAACATAACAGTTATACGGAAAAATATATAAATATAAATGTGACTGTTCTGCGACAGAACTTTGTACTGCGGTGGTAAAACCTTTCTCCCCATTCAAAACGTATCGTCCTCGCTTTTATTACATGATATTACCGTAAATTGTTTTTAAGCCCAAGTTGTTCAAGTCAAATCTATTTAATTAATTAGTTTAAATTCAATATTGTTATTTCACTTATTCTTTTTGACAGCAACCACTGTAAAACCAACGACATATCCTACGACTACGCCGCCTCAAACTACAACCACCAAGCCGCTGTGTATCTCTCCCCATGGGACTTGTTCCTATGCATACCTTCCTTGTCCATCAAACTCAGTACACTGCCCACATGAAGATAAAGGATGTTATAAGTCACCTTTGTATAAATGCTGTTGCAAGATCCCACCACCAAGTAAGTTTTCAAGACTAAAATATTATTTCTCTTTAATGGGAGAGAGGAAAAACAATTCTTTTAATGGGAAAAAGTTAAGGGGGCATTCTTGTGCTTTTTGGGGGGGAAATAATGTTGATTTGGGGAGGAATAAATTAGTGTAGGTAATAGCATGATTTGTGGTGATATTTGGCATAAATACCACGAGTGATATTTCAAAATTGTTATACGAAATTTCACGAGCCGTTAGGCGAGTGAAATTTGAGACAGTTTTGAAATATCCCAAGTGGTATTTATGCCAAATATCAAGTGCAAATCATGCTATTATTTGTTTATACTACTACCCACAAAAGGTTTGTAATTTTCACATGTAGGTATTTCAAATTAAGCTGAAATACCACTGCTCTGAGCCAATCAAATTGCAGAAATTTCTAAGGTAGTAGTATAAGGTTAGAAATGGTATACACATAAATCGGTTAGTCTGCTAATGGGTTCAGGGCACCGTGTGGTGGTGGTTTACATTCAACAACCCTCAAATCCAATAATTTTGCAATTTTCCACAATTTTAAGCACCCTCCTAGCTCGAAAAAAATGAGGCAAAAATTCTCAAAGAAGTCATTGAACCAAGAAAATTTATTTTTTTTTTTTAGAAATTTATTTTTTAATTATAATCCAATGGTTCAGTTTTTTCTAACAGGAATTATAACGCAAGTGAAACAATGCATGAATAATTGTTGGTTATTCAAAATCACTCGGTTAATTACTTACAGTCTAATCCATTTCCGTTCTAAAACGAACATAAAGACCACGTTGGATATTTTTGTCGGTAAATTTTCCTGTCGTCCTTTCATTTTTCTAGAACAATGATTTGAAAAACAAATTCAGGCATGGAAACATAACAGTTATACGGAAAAATATATAAAATATAAATGTGACTGTTCTGCGACAGAACTTTGTACTGCAGTGGTAAAACCTTTCTCCCCATTCAAAACGTATCGTCCTCGCTTTTATTACATGATATTGCCGTAAATTGTTTTTAAGCCCAAGTTGTTCAAGTCAAATCTATTTAATTAATTAGTTTAAATTCAATATGGTTATTTCACTTATTCTTTTTGACAGCAACCACTGTAAAACCAACGACATATCCTACGACTACGCCGCCTCAAACTACAACCACCAAGCCGCTGTGTATCTCTCCCCATGGGACTTGTTCCTATGCATACCTTCCTTGTCCATCAAACTCAGTACACTGCCCACATGAAGATAAAGGATGTTATAAGTCACCTTTGTATAAATGCTGTTGCAAGATCCCACCACCAAGTAAGTTTTCAACACTAAAATATTATTTCTCTTTAATGGGAGAGAGGAAAAACAATTCTTTTAATGGGAAAAAGTTAAGGGGGCATTCTTGTGCTTTTTGGGGGAGAAATAATGTTGATTTGGGGAGGAAATAAATAAGGGTAGAAATGGTATACACATAAACCGATTAGTCTGCTAATGGGCTCAGAGGCACCGTCTGGTGGTGGTTCACATTCAACAACCCTCAAATCCAATAATTTTGCAATTTTCCACAATTTTAAGCACCCCCCTAGCTCGAAAAAAGTGATGAAGAAATTCTCAAAGAAGTCATTGAACGAAGAAAATTTATTTATTTTTTAATTTATTTTTAGAAATTTATTTTTTAATTATATCTTGGACGCGAATCTATTACGAAATTAATGTATGACTAGATTAAAGGGCTTTTTTAGAAAATCGATCTCTTTTAGTTTAATTGAACCCCTTTTAGATACATTATCATGACGGCGATTGATTCCACATTTTGGACTCCAACCTATACTGTAACTGTGTCATCTTTTCTTATACTGGGGACGCAAGCGATTCTTAGCTCTATGCATAGACGGGGGGAGGAAGGGGGGCAACTTTTTTTTAGAAAAGTCGTTAATTTTACCTTAAACATAGTAATCATATAATTTCATTTACGCAGTTGATAAAGGGAGACGGGCTTTAGATGGGAACGGACGAGGAAAGAGAAAATAAATAGCCCTCTTTAAGAGTACTGAAAAGAAGGCTTCGTTTGAATGTTCTATAGCTGTATGCTACTGAGAAATTTTTTACGCTATGGAGACTCTGACACCAAATACGTTTCTAACAGACAAAGAAAACTAAAAAGGTATTAAATAGCTTTTTTAAATTCAAACAACAAATTGCAGTTCGTCTTTTATCTACACTGAATATATCTTGCTTCTTCCCGGGAAAACATTGTATAAAAGTTGAATAAATTACAGCAACTTTTTCTTATATTCATTGTTTTTTTTTTTCATTTTTCCTTTTTCATTTTTTTTCTAGCAACACCTAAACCCACCACACAGCCACCCAAACCCACGACTAAACCTCCGCCAGGTAAGTAATATTAGCCCTCTTGAATAGCAGAATACGAAAAAATCATCAGCGTGTAGAGTTAAAGGAAGCCGAATAATAATAATAATAATAATAATGATAATGATAATACTGATAATGGTAATAATAATAATAATAATAATAATAATAATAGTAATAATAATTAGAATTATAATTAGTAATGGTAACAGGACTGAGTGGAGGCCAATTCGGTCTGTAATCATACGAGTGATTAACAAAATCGGACGACCGCGTAGCGGGAGTCCGATTTGTTTAATCACGAGTATGATTACAGACCGAATTGGACGACACGAAGTTCTGTTACCAATTAATCATAACTTTAACAAAATTTGTGATATATTAGGCTCTTTTTTTAATCAAAACACAAGAAATTCCGAGATTTTTTTGCTAGCAGTGAAAAAAAAAGCCATATAAGCGCGCGCGTGATGGCGCGTGCTGTCCAATTACCAATTACTTAGGCATGACGCGTACTGTCCTATTTAACTGTCCTATTAAGGCTGAAATCAGGGCAGTTGATAGCCAATCAGATTTAAGAATTTTGTTATAGTTATGATTATAATATAATAATTGTAATTATAAGAAGAAGAAGAAGAGGAAGAAAGAGGAGAAGGAGAAAGGAAATTTAAGGCCTCGGGACGAGACCAGACTAAAAGTAGAAAATGTTGTTGTTTCCAGGACAAAGAACACCTGTGGGAATTAGAAATAATTATTCATCTGAGAGGTCGATCAGATTACAAGGACCACCAGTAATTTTGTAACGGATGTAATAAGCAAGAGAATAGAATTCTCACATTGATGGTACTAACATTTTTGTACTTTTTTTCTGCCAGTATGTGGTGGTCCACTGAAAGCATCATGGGGGGTCATCAAATCTCCAAATTTCCCTTACAAGTACCCTGAATACGCGGTCTGTAGATGGATAACCTATGTTACACGAAAAGAGAAGCTCATCCTCCAGTTTAAGTACTTCGCACTAGCACCGTAAGTATTAAACTAGTAATAACCAAAGGTTACGGAGTGCGGGCGACAACGATCGCCGAAGCAAAACGCTTTTGCTCCAACGCTGTGCTTTGCGTAAGTTTCACGTGACAGATGGTCAAAACACGCGTAATCAGATTACGAGTGATAGAAGGTCCAAATTGGACAGTTTGCCTATTTGTAAAGGAAAGTCTTATCTGAAACAATCCAAATTAATCTTTCATTGGACAGTTCGTAAAAATTAAAGGATAATCGCTTTGCTGCCAATATCGGATCAACTAATAGCTATATAATAAAGAAGAGAATGTCAAAAGTACCGTAACCACTGGAAGACTGAAACATACTAGTGTTCGGAAAACGACACAAAGTCGCACGTAACGTGCAGGAAAACTTAAGTCAAGTCAGGGGTCAATATTTTATGAAGCTTGCGCTTGTGCTGCGTACTTTTATTAAAAAAAATTATTATAAAACAAAAAATAAAAAACTCTTGTTGCATAAGGGAGCAGCGAAAGATAGCTCAAGATATAAATTAATCTTTCTTGTATTCTTCTAGGAGAATTTAGACTAATTGCAACTTTTGTTGTTTCCTTTTTTTAGGTGCGACTTCCTTTTAATCTCAGATGGCGACAAGATACTCAAAATTACCAACGGCTTTAAAGTCAGTCGATGCTACGGATACGGATGCTATCACGATGAACCGTCGCCCTACGACGAGTTTGAAAGCGATAATGTGGATGATGACTTTTATTACTACGACGTTGAAAAACTAAATGAAGACGATGATGGATGGAAGGCCTTCTGGGTTAGTAAACGTCGCCGTCTCATTATCGTTCGAGGTGGGAACCGCCATGTAGTCATCAAGTTTAAATCCAAGGGATGTGGAAGCGCAAAAGGGTTCAGTGTTCGCTACGATAAGAAAAGATCCCGAGGTGAGTTTTTCTTTTGAACCAACCTAGACATAGCATAAGTTTGAGCCCAATCATTTGATAGATTTCAGAATAGCTATAAGCCTTTTGCAGGCATTCTGATAGTGGAGCATGTGGTGTTGCCTGCGGTCTGGGACTAGCTGGGGATCACATGGTCTAGTGAACTTAACTTGTTGTAGTCAGCACGATTAATGCCGTGGAAATTCCCCTTTTGTTCTCTTCGCCGTCTGCTTAAATGTCAGAAAACTCAGCAATCTTACACGTGAGGAGTCACCGTCGTTTGTTTGTCTACTTGATTCTTTAGCGGTCATTTTGTACGCTCTTTACAAGACTTATCTTCACTGTTCGCTACCGATACAACACCCTGTGCTTTAGCATGACGACAGCCTTCAACACAAGGTGTTCCCGCTGAACAGGATATACCGCCAAAATTGTGAAAGTCCTAAACCTTCCGATTACGCCAGTGCTAATTTGACAACAAGAAAGACTGAAGGTCTTCAGTTTAAGCGAAAAAAAGTCTGAAGACCTTGAACAGATTACGGACTGGCCAAGTCCTAGTCCAGAGTGTTAACCTTACAATAACCTCGCGGTAATCATAGAAAAATGTCGGGGCAACTCGTCAGGAAATTTCTAAAAATGGAGCCCGGTGGGCGTGACTGAAAGTCATTTTTTGATGGGCAAATTCAAAAAATCCGTTCGGTAACAAATTTGTAAAAATAGTTTCCAAAATGTTTTCGGCTCAAAGTCTTTAAATGTCCCCCAATAGCGGTACCTTTTGCAGCTCATAGTGGCAATTGAATCATTATAAATCACTCTAAGGTGGAGACAACGTCACAAATTGTAACCCCTAAAGGCTTCGACGAATAGCCCCATCATTTTCAAAGGGTGTACCGGCGTACCTCCAATAAAAGGTACGACTGACGAATAGCTTCGTCTCTTTTATAGGGAGTACCCACGAATAAACCACACTGGCATGGTGGGTTAACCAACATTGCTTAGGAAATTAATACAGCACAAAACTTATTATGCGCTGCATTGATTTATTGTCTTCTTCTTTATTTATCGTTCTTTTATATTTTCATTTTAGGTTCGAGCTCGGACTCTGATGAGGAACAGTGAAGACGCTTAATGCAGTCAAAACATTGCTTTCGGAGAAAAATAGTTTTCTTTCTATTTGGTTATCATTATTAAGCTCACAAAAGTATTTAATTCAAGGGAAGTACTATTTACTTTGTAGAAGAAATTATCAATTAAACATAACCGCTTAAGTGCATGTTAACCCTCATTTTCAGCGAAGTATCATTTTTATTTATGTACGAAGGGTGGTTCTTTAATAACAACTCAGCAAATAATCTGCGAGCAAGCTCTCTATTTGGGGCTGTCACGAGAAATCACGCGAGAATAGCACGCGAAAGGGGACGCCAGTGCATAAAGAGCTTTCTCGGGCAGGCTAAGCAAACAGCTTGAAGGATATGCTGTTAAGATTTAACAGATGCACGCGTGATCAGCTATCAGATTGCTGCAAAAGAGAAACACGCCCTGTCGAAAAGGTTAACGAGAGTGTTGTCATTGTATTTCACTTTTGTGATTTGCTTTTCGCCGTGCTGTTTCGCTCTCATCCAGCAGCCTGTTTTATGGAGCACTAGAAAAGGTTTATTATTCTCTCCTCTTCTCTAGTGTATTCGGTTGTTGAAATAAACTTTTCTCTTCGTCAAAAAATGAGTTGTTATGTTGTTGTGGACCCTGAGTGTACAATGCAGCCAGCCAAATAAATTTGGTCTATGTGTAACCCCTTAAAAGTAGGTTTTCCCTGCATCCCAGAAAAACGATGAAGAGTCGGAAAGACGAAAGCTTACTTGGCTGAAAATGAGAAAACGGGAAACCAGCAAGAAGGACGATGATTCGACTGTTGAACGCTTAAATATATCTTGCCTGATGTCACATAATCAACTCGCTTCTGGAAGGCTTACTTTTTTCTTAAGGCAGATCTTTGTTTTGTTACAAACTCGGGGTTCTGAATTCGACAAATGAATTTACGAGTTTCAGTACATTTTTTGTTTGTTTGTTTGTTTTTTCAATTTTGTGGTGATTCAGTAGTCTTCACGTTTCCCAAATATCATATTTTGTGGTGCTTCCTGTAGAACGCCGATAAGAAACAAAAGGCACATTTGTCGACAACTACTTAACCTCATTATTTATGTATCTGATATTTCATTTTCGAGGTCACATTGTACACAAGAAAAGATCTGTCAAGGGAATTTTTCGCTGGCGCAAAAAAGGTTATTGAAGAAACCCGTAACACGCGTAATAAAGTACACTTAATTAAATAATATAACAATGTTCAGTTTTCTTTCTTCTTTTCAAGAGGTTACTTTATCATTTAGTACTGAATGAACTCTGTAATTATCAGTTTAGTTCTAAATAAATAAAGCATGAAAAGTCTACAGTAGGAAAGAAAGAGAAGAGATAAAGTAAAATATAAGAAAAAAAATTAATGAAGTTATGGGGCAAGACAAGATTATGCCTCACAAAAGGCGCGAACTAATAGACAAGTTTGTTTGTTTGTTTGTTTGTTTTCTTTCTTTGCGAGTGCAATAAAAACTCAAAACTTCTAACAAGTGTAAGCTTCATCCATATATAAGGAATTTATGCTGGTAAAAAAAAATTACGCAAATTACGCAAGCGCATTTTACCGCGAAAATCCCGGTGAGCGGGGTGGGGGGACTCGTGTTAATTTTTGCCGAGTATGTGCCGCTGGCCTCTCAGAGCCCCTACCCCATTATAGCCTATTCTGTGACCAACTATAGAGCCCATCTTACTCACTTGTGGGTAAATATGTAATTTTCGCGATCTCAACTTAGTCACTTTATATTGATTATCTACCTTATCAATCCTTTAATAGGACATCCTAAATTGATTTGACCCATTTTGTAAATTGAATGAAGAACACTTTACTTTTCACCTAAAGTACAAACATTCTGGTACGTTTGCTAACCGTAAATATAAAGAACGTTCTTACCCCAAAACTCAGAAAATGTGCGACCCCATTCTAGTAATTCTATAGAAAATGAGACCCCAACCAGCGACAAATTTCCATTAGCATCTTATAAGGAAGTACCCCCCCCCCCACCATGTGACGAAAATGGGGACGATAGTTCTTTTAAGAACAGTGACAAATTTCTTTCAACTTTGCGCCAGCATATTTCTTGAAAATATTGTACAGTCGACACCGCAGATATAGGATTGTCATGATAAAATAGTGAAAGGAATTATGTTTAAAAAAACAACTTAATGTATTGGGACTGACTTTTGACGCGTTATTATATTTTAAATTTATGGGAACTCTTGTAATAAGCTGATGCCTTGTACAAGACCAAGAACAGGTATATACCACAGATTTACTTCACACGAGCTGTCTGAGTGACACACTGAAGTACATTTGAAGAGAGTTCTTAGCACGAAAGAAAACAGATACCGTAAGGTCCTGCTGGTAATACCTGCTCTTCTACAATCCCGGACAAAACTACTTGGCAGTTTCCCCATCATGTCCACTTTCCTATGCAGCAAAACTATTTCCAAAACGAGTCACCTTTGCGAAAAGAAAACCCCTTTCCTCAGGTCAATGTTGCTTCCTACAAACGCCCAGTGATCAGGCTTTCTTTTGACTACACAACAACATTGCTTTCAGGAGAAGGGGAAGAGGGAAGAACCGGTACAGCTACGATGTTTAGAAAAATGCTGTCCAAGTATACAATTTTATCAACAGTTTTGTCCAAGATTGTAGCTTCGTAAGGTTTATATTTGGCTGAGCCTGTATGTAATAATAATATCTTAATTACTTATATTGCGCAGGTATTCATAAAAATGCTCAAATGTGCATTACATTACAAACCTATTTACAATAAACAAAACAATAAGAATATATACACTTCCATCATAAAAATCTAAAATATAATATCGATATGTAACGATTAAAATTCATTCAACCGTATAAGCAAACTTAAAAAGGTAAGTCTTAAGCTACGAAAAAAAAGCAGAGCCTGTTTACTTAACAGATAGCGAGAGATTATAAGACCTATACAGTCTCTTAGCTAAAAAACTAGGGTAAATGACGTTTTACATACTAGCAAAGGTAATTCGTTTCAATTTAATAATTTTAAAAAAATAATATAATAATAATTTGAAAATATATATTGCTCAGTTTTCATGGCTAGCTAATCAGTTGGGCAGTGCAGTGCTTCAATGAATAATTATAACTAATATTGCATAAAAGTGACATCAAGTTTAACCCTATTCAGACCGGGGGGGTGTTCAGGTGGCTCCTCGCAAAAAAAGAGATTAAGAGATTAACTTCAAAACCGTTAAAGCTATGACCACCATAACCTAGCGACCTTACCTGAAAATTATCTGACAAAATTTTCAATTCGTCGTGACGATTACCTCGATTTTCACGGTTTTTAGGTAAAATTGAATACATTTAATCGATTTCTTAAAATGGCGGATCCAAGATGGCGGATGGACCCAGATCTTTCTTTAATAATAAATGACGTCATCAAGAAATCACAGCTCAGTAGTTATAGATTAATCACGTTTTAATTGCAAACTTCTCGATTTTGGCAGACCTCTTAATATTCAAGTATTTTTCGCTTTAAGGGGAAAAATTGATGGAATTTGGATCTTGCCTATGAATGCAACAATATGAAGTTATCAAATTACGTCATAGTGTCAACTAAGTTAAACCTTGGCGCTGGAAATGATAAGTACCTCCTGGTACATTATTTCGTGTAATTTTGGTGGCCGTATCATGAACGGCTTTGATGGAAGTTATTTTATTGAAGGGGGCTCCGAAACCCCCATGGCCCGGTCGCGGGAAGCAAAAAAAAAAACAAACCGGTCTGGGTACAGACAATTAAATGCAATAAGATTTAAAAGGTAAATACGTGCGCTAAAATATAGTGGGTGTAAGTAAGAACTTAACAATAAAGGTTGATGAGGCATTTTTTAAACATCTCTGTATTAATTCATGGTATCTTTCAAAAAGAGTGTGTCAGTATTGGTCTAGAAAGAGCACGGTTACAACCGGCCAGGTAAGAACTTGATGGAAGAGGATGTCGACAATAACATAACATGGCAAAACATTATAAAACCCTTATTTGAAGACGATATGAATTAAAGTTAAAAAGCTTGTGGGGTCGTGTGTACTAACTAAAATATATTTTAGTTTAATTAAAATTGAAATATACCAGCTGAGCATAAAATATAAAATGCAAAGCTAAGAACATGCAACGTCATTAATGTGAGAGATCAATCGGAGTTGATAATATCGGAATTACAGCACGTACCCCACAAACAAGGTCATTCATAATAGATGGATGAATGACACTAAAACAGAATTTTAGTAGGGCATCTTTAGGTAAAACCTGATGCGTTTTAATAATTCTAATTTGTTCACAATTGCAAAGATTTTCGTTAGATCCAGTACCGTCCTAAGTGAGTCTGTTATCCACAATCATTCTCAGCATTCCTTTTATTGTTGCATGTTTCCTTTCCTTTTTTCCTCACTACGTGACGAAATCCAAGTGATATAGCTGAACAGCACGAAAGAGAAGTTAAATGTGGTTAAAGGTTTTAAAGCTCTTGAGTTTGGTGATAAAAACTTGCGTATGAGTATCCTTACGTGAATAGCCTTTTTTTAACATTTGTACAGATAACAATGGTTTTCAAAAACATTTCACTACATTCAGCAGCATGGGAAATTAAAACTTTACAGAACAATATCGAACGTCTGCCGGTTAAGTGTGGTTATATAAGTCTGTTTACAAAGATGGCATGATTATTATGATTGTTTTCTCCTTTTTGGCCTATCGTAATACATACGGGGTACGGGGACCCCCCCTAGCCCCCCCCCCATCTACTTTTCACTACCAAAGTGAATGATGAATTCTTGTAGAGGCGGTTTGAACAGCTGAGTTTGTGGACGAAATCCTTCACAGCGGAGGCTATTCAAATGAAACTGAACCTCTTCGACAGTACTTTCATACGGTGCTATTTTCTTCAGCTTTTTTCTAGTTGATGAAATTGAGAGATTTTTGTCGAGTTTTGACTTTGGCTATTTTAAGAGTGAAAGGGTTTAAGTGGCTTTTAACCGAAGTGACCGAAATTCAAATCTATGTAGGTCATGTGGCTTCATCTGTAGTGTTTATCAAGATATTGGACAAGATTAAATTAAAGAGGAAAGTTTTACTATTGAAAACAAAACCCCAGTATACGTAAATGATAAGGAAACAGATGACGTAGCATGCATATTGGCTCATTTTTTTTCTCTGAAAGATTGCATTCTTATACACGCTCAATATTAATAACTATTATCTCACTAAGGGCATAACCATTAAGAGGGGAAGTGAGGGGGTGATACGTATGCGAGGAGTTTAATAAGATCATGAAGGTAGCTTTGGCTGTGTAATAAGAAGTGCTTGGCATGACTTCACAACAAGGATGAAACGTCTAGTCGAGTAATCATTCACAAATGAATAAAATTAGCTTCGATTCCTTTCAAGTGAAAGTATAAATAGGGCAATATTTTTTCTTCTGGTACATAAAATTGTTAATTTACAAAACAAATTCTGGGTTTTCTTTATTTA